TGGAAAAGAAACCAAAGGACAAGAAAACAGAATATCACAAATCAAAGTTGAACTGAAAACAACAAACAGTAGTCCACAAGGGGAGAACCATATGACATACTGATATGATATTTCTACAAATTGTAGTACTGTCTTTGTTCTGAGAGACTCTAAGTTTTCTAGTTGTCAAACGAGACTTAAGACTAAGGGGACCAAGTCTTTCAGTCAATGGCACCAAGGCTTTGGGACAGCACTTTTCTACAGCTTCCTAAAACACTGTTAAAACCTTCCTGTTTTAACAGTATTGTCTGTTTTGTGTGTTTTATTATGTGTTATTTTATCTTGCCGTTGACACCTAATTTTTAGTAGTTATTTCATTAGTTTTCTATGCAACACTTTGTGATGGTGTTGCTGCTTAAGGGGCCTGACAAAGGAACTTTGTAACTTTCATACAAAGACTATATTTGTGGTTTCTCAATTTACGCAGCTTTATGAGCAAATAACATTTATTTGCATTAGATGTTTTTCCATGGACAGTATTTCACAACAGGGTAACACAATAGAATGAACAATGGAATACAACACAGAACAGAAAAGGCACAATTAAAAATACATATACAAAGCTCTGGTCTGACTAAGAGCTTCTTAGAATAAAAAATCTTCAATATAATTAATAAGTCTTGCTTTGATGACAATACAAGAAACTTTTCGTAGTCGGGCACTTTAAATAACAAAAGAGAATCTGTTTAAATCCAGAACCTTGAGGAACGCCATGAATTTTTCCTTGCATAGAACACCCTAAATTTGATGTAAAAACCTCAATATTTTAGAGGGCACCATGACTACATTTCTTCGCCCTCATCTTTACTCTTCTTGCTCTTTGTATTTTTGCACAGCTGATAATTTTTTTATTTGAAATTTCCATGTATATGTTCATAGCCCAGTCTTTTGGGTATTTGTATATTTTCCTATTCCTTGAAACAACTGCATGAGGCTAAGGCTAGCCCGGCTTTTGTTGGAAATGTCTTATACTTTTACAAGAGAATCTATTCCCTTCACTGTCACCCTGTAATGCCCAGACAGACTGAAACTTGAGGCGGGTAATCATTGATCAGAAAAAGGGCAGTGGCCCAGAACATCAGAAAGCTATCAGACAACTAGCACAAACTATATATATACATATATATAAAACTTGTGCTGGCTAGATCAACAGTGGAGGCCTATAAAGCTAGGAAACAAGGTGAGCCGAGTTGAGCTGATTGGTAGTCAGTTGGCACAGGTGAAAAGAATGAGCTTGTCAGTGAAGAGCAGAGCAGAATGTAAACACGATAACACAAATGGTTGTTTCCACCACATTTGTGATTGCAGTAAAAGAAATAGGAGTCGGTTGAATTGCTTTGACTGATAACCTGTTTTAAGTGCTTTTGTACTTTCTTTTAAATGTCTCTGCTATGTATAGCTATTTATTGACGGAATTCAATAGTTAAGCTATGATCAAATCCTTGACTTGAAAAAGCACTATATGAGTACAGTCCATTTACCATTTGTTTAACATTTAGCTGGATTAGAGGTACTGATTTAAATTGTATCTGGTTTATATTGTAAAGTGTTTTGAGATTTACTTCTGTTGATAATTGCTGACATGTACGGTGTGAGTGATGTGTAATTTAAGATCAGCATAAATCGTTTAGTGCCTTGGATTACATTAGAGAAGAAATAGAAACATGATGGGACCACAGCTGGCAGTTCAGGGGTAAATCTATGAAGATATTTGAAGAGGTTAGGCTCTAATGCAGTATCGAAGTTTTAAACATTAGACAGAGAACGTTACATATTCCTTCCATCGTCTGAAAATTAAAACCTTATTGCTCAACTGCAAACCTATGAAGACATCTAACCCGAAATCCCTGTCATCAGTAACAGAAGTAGACAAGAGCAGCAAGGTGACTCCAAAGAAGCTGCAGAGATCCAAACTATGGACATATTTTAGCTTTGCTCCCAACAAAACCAATCCTTATCGAAGAGTGAAAAGCTGTGTGGAAAAATAAGCTGTGCTGTGGTCCTCAAGAAAACGCTATCCTGCATAGCTGTGTCTCTGATTCAAATGACTTCATTACGTCTCACTTTGTCTTTAAGTGTTGCACAAACCTGCCATTCACCCATTTATTGTGGTAAGGTTTAGTCTGCAAAGATACACTTTAAACACACAAGGCAATCATTTGAGTTCCACTTCCAACCAACATAGCGGAAATAGCAAACACGGTGAAGAACAACATGCCAAACCCCCTAATAATCCATACCATGATGAACAAGGCATTTCATGTTGAGCTGAAGAAGACCAGCAATAACTGATCAGAGCTCAGTGAAGGTATAGTTAGTTACAGGGTACTGTAAACCTGCTAGAAGTTGCAGATTATCAGAGACTAGGGTGGAGGTTGACCATCTGGTAGAAAATTTATCCTAAACATACAGTCAGAGACACAGAGAGCAGGAATCAATGGCAAGACGTAAATATTTTTACTTTAGAAAAAGTCAGCTTGAATGGTTAGAAAAACTTTAAAAAAAAAGTCAGTCTCTAGATTTACACAGAGAGATGTTCAGCTCAAATAGCAGCAAAAGTGGATTCAAATGAAATTATGAAATTATGCTCCACTTCTTCTTCATTCACCACATAAAATCTCCCCAAATATTGCAAAATTTCACAGTTTCATTGAGGCAACATGTAAAAACATTCAAGGCCATTAAATATATATATATAACTGAAAAAAATAATGCAACCGCTTTTGCCATTTACTTAATCATATTTAGTTATTTTACCACAATTGTTTTGTCCTACCCTGCTAACATAAAACAATTGTGTTAAAGTTAATAAATATGAATAGGTAAATGCCAAAAACAGTTGCATTATTTTTTTCAGTATATATATATATATATATATATATATATATGTTTTTTTAAGGATTTTAAAAGTAAAAACAAGAGAAGAATAGTGAAGACTTGGCTTACACATGGGGATTGGGTATGACTTTCATTTACAAACAAATCTTGACACCTGAGGTAAAAGTAGAGTAAAATAGAAATATTAATCTCACAACAAACTATTGTTTAAAAGAGATGAGAAGAAGGTTTTAACAGACTGAAGATGATTTACAAGTAATGATGTTTAATAAGGACAATGGTGAGGAATCACTGATCAATTAGACCTCTAGTAGAAGCCTAAAGAAAATAAAAGGTAATTCGCTCATTTCTTCTTCATTTTTATTTAAAAAAAATGTATTATCAATTCATGATATTCTAATGTAACTGTAACACAATTCTGGATTGAAAATAAAATGCACTTTCATGTTTGGTTTTACCGAAAAAAGTAAATTCAAATTACGAAGCTGTATTGTTTCTTTTGTCTGTTTGAAACGAGTCTGAACTAATTTCTGGTCTTGTGTACAGAGAGTCACTCTGGGACATAAGTGTATTTTCAGAATTACAAACAAGGGCCCATCTCTTTTGTGTGACCTCTCCTCACAGAAAACCATGTGTTTGTCACACACAGTGGAAAACAAGCTTTACACAACAGGAGTGTGAAATCACCATGTTCCAAGACTGGGAGTGGTGGTGGGGTGGTTGGGCTCTCAGCGGGCTAAAAGGAAAAAAAACAAAAAAAAGCTAAATGTCTGAACTCGGACAACATGAGACACAAAGACTCCCGAGTTAATCAGCAGACTAAGGTAACATTGTTTTCATCTCTGCAGGATTCAACAAAGTGATCTGATTTGAAACTCAATGTGCTGCTTACGTACTTAACGACATAATGAGGTGTTGTATAACAACAGGATTAACATAATCAGGTTCCTATATTTAAGTACTTTATACATTACCAATATACAATTATATATATATATATATATATATATATATATATATATATATATATATATATATATATATATAGATTATATAAGGTTGATAGTAAGGGTTAATGATATGTGTATGAGGTTATAATATATAACTTCAACTAAACACATACAGTAGCCTCAACTAAATGCGGACATGTAGTTGTATGTTCATTTTTCTAAATATATAAAAACACATGCTGTTGTTCTTTAGAATTGAAACAAAAATGTGGGTAATCAAATTTTTTAGACCCTTTTTATCTTAATTTAGTAATAATCCAAAATAAGCATAATTATTTGGACTGAAATTAGTGACTAGTTTATTCAAACAGCAACAACAGCAATAATGATATCAACAATATTGGTCAAACTCACAAGAAAAACACATAAATATGTATTTAATCTTATGACGGGTGGATCATATTAGTTTTGATTTGATAAATATGGCTGAAATATAAATAGATTAGATCTTTTATAAAAGCCCTAAATTCCTTTAAGTAATTGTTTTATTGGTGTCCAGTTTTTCATAATGTTTTTTTTTTGTCTGAATTTAAAAATAAAGTAGTGACACATCGAGTAAATATTGCTTTGTATCATAAAAAGAGAAGGATTATGAGAGGATTATGCATGCTGTAAGTAGTTTTAAACTAGAACAATGTATTAAACCATCAGTATAATCTTAAATCAGGCATATTTTGCTTGCAAATAGGACAGTTAAAGAAACCAAACATATTTTAATTGTGATTCTAAACTGAAATATTTCTATCTAATTTAAATTAACAAGAATAGATCGTCTACAGAATATTTTTCCTGTGTTTTTTTTTCTTCAAATAACTTGTTATAGATCTTCTGTGTCTGTTTAAATTTCATATTAAAAATACATCAGAAATATGGCCTTTGAATAATATTTTCACCTTTAAAAGCTTAAATTTACTTATTTGTTCGCAGTTTTTACAAGCAAAATGCTAAACCCTCATATTCACAGAGAAACGTAACTTTGAGACTTTAGGATAAAAAGGCAGCGGCGTTCCAAACTTTCTTCAGCACTCTGGAAAGAGGAAACCTTCAGAGCTCAGCGGCTCTACGGCGCCATCTGGCGTCAAGAACATGTAACCGCGGCGCTGTGACGTAGCTTCCGGTTCAGACATGGCTGCGCCCTGACAAATGTCACACCGTGTGTTTGGCTAAAAAACATTCACTGAATTTCATTGTTCTATCGACTTTTGAGCGAAACAACAAAAGGGAGGAATTGAGACCGTTACATTTGCTTCATACCACGTCTTAAGAGGTATTACATTTATTTTCTCCTCAGAACCGAAGGTCAGAAGTTTTTGGCATCAGCTAGACTGCCGTTTCCTATGGTCTTTGACTTTGCACAAACAAACAGTTTACGTTTATATTGATATTGACGTACCTTTAGTTTGAGTGTGTCTTATTTTTCTTTTTTACTTTTATTTTTACTGCAGGGTGAATCACCGGACATCATGGTTCATTTATGTGAGTATCGTAGTGCAGACTATTCTTAAAGAAATCCTCACAATCAAAACCACAATATCATAAATATATATCAAATAATATATCAGCAATATAAATAATTTCAAAACAATACCAAACAATAAAACAAATCAAAAACAATACAAGAGTGAACAAGTCGAAGCAAGATCAGTAGAAAATGTCCTGAAGCAGACAGCTTAATTAATAGACAAAATTACAAACGCCTTTGAGTTTAATTTTGCTCTATCTTAGGTTAAATTTACAGTTTCTTATTGTCAAACATGTTTATTGACCAACATCTTATTATTTGACTGATTGTGCCTTCAGATATTAGAAAAATAATTTGAAGTAAATGTTAAAACATTACATACCTGTTACAGCATGTCCTCTTAAACTGAATATATTTATTAAAACATTTGGCATAAAGCCTATGAAAATTAATATTACAATGATGCATAGAAAGCAGCACCATAAGTTGCACATATTGGCAAAAAAAGACTGTGTATAGCTTTTGAGTTACACTGAACCAAATACATTTTCTGCAAAAAACCATAAAGTAATTTTGTTTTTGTGTAATAGGTGATTTTTATTAATTTATTTTATTAATGCAAACAAAAACTCTAATAATTAGTTCTATTTTTTCCTGATGTCCTGCAGCATCCCTCCTCCTGAAAAAATACCACAGCGGCTATGTTGTCATCCGACTCGCTCTCGCTGGGCACCAGCAAGCCAACCGACCCTTTTATCGGATTGTTGCAGCTTACAACAAGAGAGCAAGGGATGGCAAGTACATCGAGCAGCTGGGTACCTTTGACCCCCTTCCTAACATCTACAACGAGAAGCTTGTCAGTTTCAACTTTGACAGGATCAAGTACTGGATCGGCTGCGGTGCGCATCCAACCAAACCGGTGGCCAAACTTCTAGGTGTGTGATCACTTCCTCTGGCGCAGGTTCCAGTGTATAACAAAAATGCACAGTTTTATCATCAGCCAGTGGTTCAATTTGTTCGCAAGGAAATATTTAACCAAGGAGGTCTTTCAATAACTTCCTATAAGCATCCGCTCCTACTACACAATGAACTTCTGTATTTTATTGGCCTTGGTTCTATGAATTTATTTTCATATTTGCCTCTCATCCAAACATTTATGTCAGGGATCAGCAACCCAAACTGCTCAAAGACCCATAGTGGACCAAAAAAAAACTTCCAAAAAATACATCTGTCTGTAGCTGCAAAAATGTAAAAGTCCTATATAAGCCTTGTATAGCAACATGGGCTCTAAGTGTATTATCCATATATAGAAAAGGACTACATGGGCGTAGATATATAATAAGCTTTCATGATTAAATGTTTATCCTGGAGCAAATGTCATATAGTAGCATCAGGTGAGAGAGGAGCAGTGAAAGCTTTAACCACATGGTGTTCATTGCGTCGGTTTAGGTTTTGTTGCATTGATGAAATTATAGAAACACTATAAAGGAATCTTTCTATGGCGGACAAGTTTTTGTTGGGATGAGTTGATTGAGTCTTGAGAAACCAAGCAGGAACTGACATCCATGAGAGCAGTGCTCTCTAACCCTGAAACTCACACCCTCTGTCACCAGCGTTCCTTGGTGTGAACAGGTTTCAATGCTTGCAACAAAACTAACAGCAGTAGTGGAATTTTGAGATGCAATCTACTTCTTAAATTTATCTTTGAGCTCCTATAATTAATCCAGAAGTTCTGCAATAGTACTTTTTCTCTCACTCCCAATTTGGTGGTCGGCTGCATATTTAGCGTGCCTTCCCTGGAAATGCCTTACAAATTACTCTTTTTATTTTTTGACAGCCTCTCATTACAAAGCAAAAATATGTTAAAGAGCCGCGGATTGCCGACCCCTGATCTATTTGATTTGAGTATCAACCAAAAAATCCTGATAATCTCATTAGAGAGCATAGAAGAACCGCATTTATCTTTGGTTATATCAAAGTAAAGGGCTTCTGTATTCAAATGAATGGAACTCTTTTCCCATTTATAAAATTTAAACCATGTCACATCTCTTACTTTGCTTTAAGTTGACCAAACTCAAATACGTTTGAATATATATTTCAATTTGTTGGTTTTATCATTTTTTAAATACAAAGAAATTCAATGAGCAGGTATATGTTTGCCATGCACTTTGGCTAAGCGAAAATATATCTACCGCTGAAGTCTGAAAAAAAAATAATCCTTTCTCATCTCTACAGGATTGGCTGGGTTCTTTCCCCTCCACCCCATGACAGTAACAGAGGCAGAGCGTCGAAGAGCTCAGGCCAAGCTGGCGGAGGCTGCGGCGGAAACGGAGGACTCTCAGGAAGAAGCGAAAGTCTGATTGGATCCAAATGAAGCTGCTGATGTTTTAATAGAGAACTTGTGCTTTCTTTCTTCCCCTCACACAGCAACTGATGTATTATATTGTAAACAACATTTACAAAAATATGAATAACTGATAATATGAGGTGATTGAGGATCGCCAAAAGATGTTTTGTTTGTGGAAAAGTTGCAGATACTTGCAGATAAAGGTTTGTGGAAAAGCTGGAACAATTCTATATGTTTTTGTTTATAAACCTTTTTTCATTTTTTTTTTTGGCTTGTACGTTGAAGTCAATACATGGAAACACAGATCTTTGGATTGTGTTTGTTACCCTCCATGAATGTATTGCTTGTTGATGTTTTTAAATAACAGCTTAAGCTAAATGTTTTTTTTTGGGTGTTGTATGATTTTTTTAAGACATTTGGGTCCATTTGTCTTTACATTTTTTTGATTAGTTAATGTTTGTTGACATTTCTTTATACAAAAACCTCATCAAAGTTTTGGTGAAAAGAAATATTTGTGTCTCTTTTGTATGCAAGTTCAGGGGTCTGATTTATCAAGTTTTGTTGCAAGCAACAAGTTCTGCAATGTATGTACGCCAATTTCCATGCAAAAATTATGATCTATCGAAAAGCAAGCTTGCCATGGAGGTGTGTTTATGCCACATTTTTGAGGAAAGGGGAAAACGGAGATACAGGGGGTGAGGTGAAGACTTGGTTTAGGTTAGATTAGGATACCATATCTTATACAAAATGTAGATCTATGTCAGCCAGTGGCAGCTGCTGCCTTCTGAAAAGGGAGGCTCAATGGTGTTAATTAAACATCACGTATTGCAGTAACAGGTTGAAACGCATCTCTACAATGGGTAAAAATAGCTGTTGTGAAGCGCTCTGAAATAAACTCCAGAAACCACGGCAAAAGTTTATCTTAATAACAATGATAACAGATTTTATTTCAAAGGTGTGTTTCTGGACACTCAAGGTCATCGTATGAAGATAAAAACACGATGGCAGAAACTAAGCCAAAACACGGAATAAAAACCATTTAAAAAATACAAAGGCTGGGACAGGGAAATGAATATTAAAGAGAATAGGCAATTTTAAACAGATGAGTTGTGATTTGAAAGAAATTGACGCACAGAGGCTGGGGGGGACATGGAGGCCTGACAAATATGGGGTGGGGGGGTTGCTTCTGTTGCTGTTTTACAACACCTCAGTTCTATCTAGTAGCAGCAGGTGAGAGCAGAGCAGTAAGCGCCCTCACAGTGTGGAATTCACCCACTGATCTGTATTTACTCACTGGATTGCTGATAAAAGTGACAACACCGACTACCATGCTGGTACTCCCCCACTCCCACGGAGACACGCAGTAAAAATGCCTACATTTGTAGCATTTGGCTGCAAAAACAAGCATTTTGCCAGCTGTGGAAAGATGTTGCACAGGTAATTTCACATTCAGTGGGTGTACTAACCAAGAAAATCCACATATACGCCAATCTATCCTATAGTATAGTATGTAACGTAACATTAGTCTGGCTATCTATATTGTGTCTAATGTAAGAAATAGAGAATGGAGTAAAAGGAAAGTAATTCACTGTGAAATCTCAATCTAGTAATTCATTATTAAGCACATGACACTTGTGTTTGTTGTATTTCTCATTTGTAAAAGTTGGTACTGAAATATATTGCATGTTATATTGACGGAGAAAAAAGCAACTCAAACATTTGACCCCTATACATACATACATATATATATATTTTACATGCATTGTCAGACATGTAATATTATAACAATGTAGTAAATACATGGATATTACAAGTACATCATCAGTTTAACATTTTTGGGACATCTGTATTATTATGCTCCATTAACACATACATTTTATTGTGCTGAATTTGTATAATATGTTATATTACATGATTTATAGACTTCATTGACTTCATAATGACTATGCATATGTTTCACTATGTGAAGTTAAAGTAAACTACTGATGTTAGGAAACAGCAAGTATGTGTCAAAGTGATGAATATATATCTTTATTTTAAAAATCTTAAGTCGCCCTGAAAATGAGAACATCATCTTTGTTCCATGCTGTAGCACAAATATTGTTTACATTGCGACTGGTCTATCAAGGGAGTACCAATATGGCGGGCACTTCAACCCTGTACTACCAACAGGTAATCAGCAATCCAGTGAATAAATAGAGACTAGTGGATTCACCGCTGGTTGCTTCCCCACCCTTCCTGTTTCGATACTGTATGCTGCAGCCACCGCGCCCGGTCTGAATGCACCATGAAGACACGCTGTTGTTGTTTAACAATCTGTAGAGGATGCTCACTGTTGTCCATAATGATCTTCACTTTATGAAGAATTCTTTGTAATATACTGATGTTCTAGATGAATTCCTAGAACAGAGCTGGATTTCTTTATCAGCTTGTTGAGCTTTTTTAAGTAATTTACTCTGATACTCTTACCCCAGCAGGTGATAGCAGAAGAGATCACATTCTCCAAAACACACTCGTAGAAGGTAAGTCAGTTAAGTGTTTGCAGCATCTTGCTTGCTTAGGGAATCAAACACTTGTCTGTTGACCAGGTGAACACCGAAGTATGTATGCTCCGCCACCTCCACGTCTTTGATGTTAATAGCATTTTGACTGCTTCCTGTTTCATCTTGAATCTAAAATCATCTCCCTTTATAGTTCAAAATGAGGATCAGATGATGGCACCCAATTTCACAGAGCGATTCACCAACTCCCTGTATTCAGCGTGTTGTCCATCTCTAATGTGCCCAACAACTGCAGTCAACTGAGTATGACAGGACTCTTTCTTGTACTGGAAGTCAGATGTTCACAGAGTAAACAGGAATGGTCAAAGTAACGTCCCGTGGTGTTCTTCTGTGTTGCTAAATACTTGATTCAAAAGTTGACCCTTCCGCCTTACAGTAACTTGCATTACTGGATAAAGTCGATCAACTTGATGAGGTGTTTCAAGATGCAAGAAAAATCACCAAGAAAATGCAAACATTTTTTCAAAAGCTTTATCTAAACAGAGACAGTTGACACTTGTTGACATTTCTGTTAATTCACCAGTGTTGGTGGAGATTAGTGAATATTCTGACTTAAATTGTATTTTTTTTATTATAATTGTTTATTATTTTATTTATATAGCGCCAGTTCACAACACATGTCATCTCAAGGCACTTTACACAGACAAATAAACCAGATCATACAGTCAGATTGGTTCAGTTGTCTATCTAAGGAAAACCAGTTGATTGCATCTACTCATTGACTCGAAAGCAATTCCTCACACCAAGCATCCTTGTAGCAACAGAGTGGAGAGAAAAACTCCCTTTTTACAGGAAGCGACCTCCAACAGAAACAGGCTCAGTGTGAGCGGCCATCTGCCGAGGCTGTCTTGGGTTTAAGGAGACAGGAGCATACATAGAAAAAGAAGCAGAGATACGAAATGCAACTGTCAACTAGCTCCACTGGTGGCCCCGTTCAGTAAACACACAGCCAGACAAACAAGCTGTGAGCCAGCTCCCATTTCAGAGGATGCAGAAGACATTACAGCTGATATTCCTCTCTAGGATGGTTTCACAGCCAAAAAGGAACTTACCAGATGAAGCTACTATGATGAGAAAAAGCAGAGAGAGCATAACTTTTGAGATTGAACGAACAAGTGGCAGTGTACCACAGCCTCGTCTGCTCCTGTGTTGGCATAAATCTAGTAAAGCGGATGAGAGGTTTCCACTCTAATAACCCTTTAAATTCCTGGTCAACCAAATGGTTTACCTCATATTGAGTCGTTACATTTACCAGAAATAAGCTCCTAAACTAACACAGACTTTATGAGTCTAAAATGGAAACCATTTTTTTTTTTTTTTTTTTTTTTTTTTTTTTATGTTTGGGAAAAACTTTATATGCAGATTGTGATTTTTTTTTTTTTTTTTAGTATTTCCATTTAGCTTCTTTAAGCTAACCTCTTTTTATTTGTCCAAATGGACGTTAATTGTCTGTAACTGATCTTTTTCAAACATTAGAGTGTTTTTCTTTATTTTAAAACAATCTTAATTTTTCACCATTGCAGAATTTGTTTAGTTTTAAGACAAAATAAAAATGTCTTGAGCAAAAAAAAAAAAAATTGTTGTATTTATCAAAACCTGGGTTGACATTTGTGACTTTGAGTACTTCTATATTTGGCTTGGTGATGTTGCCATTTTGTTTTCACTTTCAGGGTTATTTTTATAGATCCCAGTATTTGCATGGAGGATTGCATACACAATTTTAAAGTCCTGTTTCTATGCAAGCTTTATAAATGAGACCCTTATTCATCTCAGTTACTTCTTGTTATTGTGTGCCAAAAGATCCTTTGATTCTAAATAATTACCTTTAAGCTTTTAATGTTTTCAGAAGTGGGTCAATGTTAAAAGTAATTGTTAGCATTCTAGAATGATAAAGCTAAAAGGGAAAGCTATGAACTCTGTTGCACAACAATTCAGTAACGATTTTCTAACAAGCAAACAGAGGTGTGGAGGAATTTACCCAAAGCTCTTCAACCTTCAAGGTCAAGAGAATTTTTTATGTTTTACCTTGAAACAGCTTGTTTCTCTTTTGTAGGGTTTGAGATCGTTTATAGTACCGACTATGATCCGGTTTAATAGTTCATGAAATATGGCTCTGAATTACCTGTGATATCAGCATGCTGTTTCTTGAGTGAAATTTTCTTTTTAAAACCTCCCCTGTATTTCCAGTTAGTTAAAACAGTTTCTTTGGAAAATAAATAATTTAAAGAAGGTAAAATTAAGGAAATTAAATGAATGTATTTAAGGGAATATTGTATATTTTTTCTGTCATTAAGTGAAATTTTATAGACATATTTAGAAAAATGTCCCCCAGTATACTTATTAACCACAAGGTTTAATTTATTACAGAAGTTCCTGTTTCAGAGCAACGCTGATGTATTTGTGTGAGAAGTGAATTTGTACAGTATGTTCTTAAAAGTCCAGCATGAATTGTTTTAATACACTTTATTGCCAAAATTATTTGCTCACCTCTCCAGATTATTGATTTAAGGTGTTCGAATGACTCCAGAGGCTACAGTTGTATAATGATTAAGCTCCTAGATGGGGAGACTCCTTCTATAAACAGTAAAAAAAAAAAGTGTTTGGGAGGAGGTCAGAGATTTGTCGCATGGGACCATGACATGTATGGAGGCCCAACTCTGACATAATAAAAAAAAAAAAAAAAAACATAAATAGAGAAAGTTAATTAAATAGATGGGCACGATTGAATGCACTAAAAAATCATGTTCTAAACGCATTTGTTTTGATTTGTAATTATTTTTTTGTTTTGTTTTATTAAATGCATTTGATTCCCTAGGCATCATTATTCGTGTCTGTTTTTGTTGGATTTTTTTTTCCCCCCATTTATTTATTCACCTTATTAATTTCTGCCTGTTCTTTTTATATTTCTGTATGCATTTCTGCCTCATTATGCAAACAAGGAGGGGTTAGTATGTAACC